GCTGCCTGGATAATAATAGTAACAGAAACAGCCTCCATTCTTTGAGCACCAGCTGTATGCTAGGCACCTTACTTATACCGCCTTAGTAGGTCCTAAGCAGTGGTGGGAGCCCTGTTCTATAGCAAAGAACAGACTCAGGGGGATGATCATTTTCCTGAGATCATCCAGATTATAGATGGCAGAGCTAGGATTTGAATCCCAACCTGTGCGTCCCAAGAAGGTTGCCCCACTGACCTTGCCTACTGCACCTTGGCCACAAGGAGCCAGCCCTGTCACCTGGTGAAGCTCCAAGGAGCCAGCAGATGTTGTTGTAACCGTGGTCCCTGGGAGCGGTGGGTGGCACCACCTGTGTTCCCGGCAAGGGAGTGGGGCCGGATTGTTCTGTGTTCCGGACAAGGGCTCGCTCACATGCTGAGTAGTGAGCCAGCCTCAGGATGATGAATCACGGGCAGAGAGGGCCAGCTTAGTCAGCACCCCATGCTGGTGTCTGGGTGCTTGCTGTCTAGAGACACTCCAGCTGTCCCCTGCATCCCCCTTACCTGACCCTCACCTCAGGGCTGCCAAGTGCAGTGGTGCAGGTTGTGCCTTGTACAAGGACACCTGGCTGAGGGGATGAGTCAGAGCTGAAATCCAGCCCATGTGCCGCTGGCCCCTTTGTGTGTCTGGAAGATGCACAAAGGCCTTAGAGTAGGAGGGTTGGGTTAAGAGTCCTAGAAGTACAGTCCAGGCAGTGCTTGGCCAAGATCACCTTGCTGAAGGCCAGTGTTCTTGCCCAGGAGCAGGCCTATGCTTCCATGAGGATGGGCCTGGGAGGTAGGCAAGAAGCACTGGCCCCACAGCAGCCAGTTTGCTCCCCTGACATCCTTCCTGGGTGGCAGGGGCTTAGCAGAGCTATCATGGTAGAGCAGGAGCTGGGGCTGCTGGGGGGGGCCGAGGGTCCAGTCCCACCTCTGCCTCTTGTGCGGTGTTCTTTGAGCAACTCACTTCGCCTCTCCTGGACTCACTTTCCTCATCTGTAACACTGACCACCAGACCCCAAAGGTCACTTTGATACTGACATTTTATTCCTTGTCGTGAGCCTCTGCTTTTGGAGACATGGGCTTTTGGAGGCCACTAATAGTGATGGTGATGGCAACCAGCATTGACTGGGGGCCTCTTGACCTCTGTGCTAAGTGCCTGTCATAGCAACTTCATGATGTGGATGCTGTTATTACCCCAGTTTTCATTGGAGGAAACTGAGGCTGAAGTTAAACAATTGCCCAAGGTCACAGAGGTAGAAAGTGGTGGCATCTGGATTTAACCCAGACTGTCTGGCTTCAGAGCCCAGCTGTCAGCTCTTTCCCCACATGGCTCCCCGTGCACGGGAATGACGTGATGGCAGGCCCTATGCTCAGTCTCTCCCTGGGCCGAGTGTCCTCCTCTGCGATGGGGGTGGTATGACCTGCTCTGCAGGGTGAGATGGTCAGTGAAGCATCCTGGTCATGCTCCGTGGGCTCCAGGTCTGGAGGGACCATGCTGCTGGCATTCTCCCTAGCTTGAGTGCTGGATGTGCTTGGTGGAGGGCACAGTCGTGGGCATCTCCTCATCTGATCATCAAATATTAGATCTGGAGAGACCCTTAGAGGTCACCTGATCCAGCCACCCTCTTGCTGCTTTACACATGGGGAAACTGAGGCCCAGAGAGGGCAAGGCACCAAGCCAGAGCCTTCCTGTGGTCCTGGCAGAGCTGGGACTAGAACACAGGGTCCCGTTGACCTGTCCTCAACTGCTGAGAATGTCCCATGTGCCAGGCCTGAGCCGGGTACCACAGAAGAGGGTGGCCAGGGTAGGCAAATGAGGCATAGGCAGGCAGAGCTGCTGCCTGGTCATCATTTGGGTCAGTGTTGCTGAGCGGGTGGGAAGAAGAGAGGGGAGGGCCGCATGGTCTTGATTTCCTGGTGGATTGGTATTTGGGACAGTTGACACAGTGGAGTGAACACAGGCTTTCCCAGCAGACCTGAGCCCCAGGCTGCTCTGCCCTTTCTAGAGGGGTGCCCTCTCTGAGCATCAGTTTCCTTATTTGTAAAATGGAGAGTATAATACATATCTCTTGGGGTTTAAAGTGGCCAGCATGGTCCCAGGATACAGTCAGAGATTAACAAAGGAAAGCTGTGGTCAGTATGATTTGTTGAGAGGAGACTTTTCCTAAGTGATTAGGAACGTGGGCTCTAGAGTCACACTGCCAGAATTCTAAGCCCAGCTCAGCTCCTTTCTACTGGGGTGGCCTTGGGTCAGTCACTTCACTTCTCAGAGCCTCAGTTCCCTCATCTGAAAAGGTATAACAGTCCCTACCTCACAGGTTGTCCTGAAGGTTAAATGAGATGATGCATTTAAAGCTTGAGCCTAGAGCCTGGCACATAGTAGGTGCTCAATAAATTATTAGCCCTACTAATAGGTAGGAGCCCTGCTGGTGCGGTGGTTCAGAGCTTGGCTGCTAACCAAAAGGTCAGCAGTTCGAATTCACTAGCCACTCCTTGAAAACGCTATGGGGTAGTTCTACTGTGTCTTACAGAGTTGTTATGAGTCAGAATTGACTCGATGGCAGCAGCTTTGGTTTGGTTTTGGTTTAGTAATAGGTAATATTGAGTACTTGCTCAATGCTGGACATTATTATTGTTATTTTGACTGCTATTACTCTCTTATTAATAATCCATTCAAATGAGCTAACTTTTCTTTATCACTCCCTAAGCAATCAGCCAATCAGACCCACCATCTCATTTTCCTACAGCAAAAGGAGAGGCCTACAGAGGAGAAATTACTTGTCCAAGGTCACACAGCCAGCTTCTCAATGTCCAGTGTGGTTTTGTCCAGCTAAATCTGCTGCAGAGCCACTGTTCCATCTTGGTCTCCTGAAGGGACACCCCTCCCTGCCCCTTCCTGCCCCATTACTCTCCAGAGTCAGCAGCTCCTCAAAGCGTCAAGCTTTGGGAATGGCTTGGTTAAGCACTTGGCTGTTAAACGTTCATCTCGTAAATTACAATTTCAATTGAATTCCTATAAGTTTATTGGCAAGACAGGGTATATTAGAGCTGCCAAATTTAATATATCAAGTCCGTGTGTCTGGGACATGGTTTCTCATCAGTAATGGGAGAAGAGAGGTTTTATACGTTTTCATTTTGAATGACTGTCTATTCCTGATCCCATTACAGCCCTTGAGTTAATGGCTGGCTGTCTCTGTCTGCCGCAGGAACAGCTTTCTCCATCAAATCACTTGGAGCCTGGACTGTCCAGGAGGCTGATTTCTCTCTGCGTCTCTCCCCGGTCTCTTCCCCTCAAGATGCATTCCCCTCAGTCCTCCCTGTTGATCGGGTTCCAGCTTCACCTTATTTACTGGGCCCTAGGAGTCTGGGGGCAACCCTAGTAGTGCAGTGGTTAAGAGCTTGGCTGCTAACCAAAAGGTTAGCTGTTCAAATCCACCAGCCATTCCTTAGAAACCCTATGGGGCAGTTTTACTCTGTCCTATAGTGTCGCTATGAGTCAGAATTGACTCGATGGCAACGGGCATTGGGGAGTCTGGGACTTTGGCTACTAGCTGGGGCTGCTTCCTCGTGACCTTGGGAAGTCACTGTCATTTATCCCCTGGGCCTCAGGTACCTGTTCTGTGAAATGAAGGCTCAGACTGTGGACCTCACCTCACTTCTAGCTCCAGGGCGAGAGGTTCTACCTCTGCAGATCCCACTTGATGGCCCTGAGTGGGTCCACTCCTCCTCTGGTCTTGTGGCACCAAACTGGGACCTGAGAGTTTTCCATGAGAGTCATAGAATTGCCACCCACCTTGGGCTGCAGAGCTCCTGGATCAGGTGTGGTCCCCATCGCTAAGGGGTTTTGAGACCCTGCAACATTCTCGTTTCCTGCTGTGATTGGCTGGAGACCTGTCATCTGAGCATTTAGCTGAACTCCTCAGGAAGCTCTTTGGATTTGCTGCCTGAACCCTCTTCAGCTTCTCTAGGCTGTGAAAAAGAGGACCCCCTGACAGCGTAATGTCATGGAAGCAACAATTTTAGGGGACCTGGGTTTGCGTTTTGACTTTCCATCTGTGTGACCTCAGGCAGATCACTTTCTCTCTCTGAATCTTGGATGTCTCATATGGAAAATGGGGGTTAACTCATGTATTCAACAAATATCTGATTGTCTCCTCTATGCCATGTATCATTTTGGGTGCTGGGACTTCTGCAACAAACAAAACAAAAATATTCCTGCCCTCATGGATTTATATTCTTGTTGGGGGAAAGAGACAATAAACATAAATAAATTACTTATTACTTCAAAGGTGGTAAGTGCTGTGAGAAAAAATAAAACAGGGTAAGGGGCGTGGAGAAAGCGGGGGGGGGGCAGGTTGGAGTTTAAAGTAAAGCGGTCACGGTAGCTTATTGAGAAGGTGGTATGTGAACAAAGATTGGAGGAGTTGAGGGAGCAAGCATGGCAGACATCTGGGGAAAGAGTATCCCAGGCAGAGGGAACAGCAGGTGCAGATGCCCTGCGTTGGTAGTATGCCTGGTGTTTGGGAGGAGCAGCAAGGAGGCTGGCGGGGCTGGCATGGAGAGAACATGGGAGAGGGGAGGCTAGCAAGGTGGTGTGTGTGTGGCGGGGGAGGTTGATCAGATGGTATGAGGCAGTGGTTCTCACCCTGGCTGCATATAAGAACTAGAATTACCTGGGGAGCTTTAAAAAGTACCGATGCCCAGACCTTACCCACTGAGGTTCTGCTTTAATTGGCCTGGGGTGGAGGCTGGACATTAGTATTGTTAAAAGATCCCTCTGGAAGGAGGCTTTGTAGACCATAATTGTAGGACCATGTAGCTTCTCATGGGCTGTTGTCAGGTTTAAATGAGCAAGTGCCTATAAGGAAAGCTGTGACCCAGGCCAGCCCACCGTCAGTGCTCAGTCAAGGCCAGCAGACAGTGGGCTGTGGTTTATGGTGTTTTCTCCAAGGGTCTGATGAGTGCTTTGTGGCTTCCCAGGCAGCGGCAGCACCTGGTGTAGGTGGCCATGGGGAAGCGATACTTCTGTGACTACTGTGACCGCTCCTTCCAGGACAGCCTCCACAACCGCAAGAAGCACCTGAATGGGCTGCAGCACCTCAAGGCCAAGAAGGTCTGGTACGACATGTTTCGAGGTGGGTGCCTGCTGGCTCGGCAGCCAGGTGGATGGGGCCCTGCTCTCTGACCTTTCTTACCATCAGCCAAGGAAGTGCCATGGGTCCATAAGAATCCTGGTCTGGGCCTTTTGAGGAGCTAAACAGTGGGAGGTTTGGAGCTGCTGCCCCTGAGGCAGATGGGCCCTCAGAGTGGGCAGGTGGGGTGTGCACCTGTCCCCCAGCAGTCTTGGTCAACAAGGTGCCACGCCAGGCTGTGGGCATACAGGGGGCAGGAGGATGGCCTTTCTGAGGAAGTGATGTTTGAACCATCTGAAAGAAGGGAAAAGCCAGCCACACCAAGCACTGGGAGGAGAATGTTCTGGGTAGGAGGCATACAAAGAAGGAGGCAGCCATGAGGAAAACACCCAGTGTTTTCTGGGCGGAAAGGAGAGGGTGTAACTGGATGTGGTGGGTGAGGGGAAGAGTGGTAAGGGCTGATGGGGCAGGGGCCAGATCATACAGGCCCGTGGAGTCAGAAATAAGGGCATCAGGTTGTCCTGAGGGCAGAGGGCAGCCCTTGAAGGGCTTGACGCAGGGGCTGACATGGCCAGAGCTACATTTGAAAGCAATGACTGACTGCTGCATGGTGAGCAGTGGGCGTGCAGGAATGGTTGTTGAATGATGGCTGGACAGATGGATGAATAACTGAGCTGCCAGAGGGAGACTCTTCCGGGAAAGGCTTCTCAGAGCAGATGCAATCAGGGTGAATGTGCTCAGGGGTGTAAGCCCCGAGCACAGGACCTGGCACCCGGAGGTGCTTGTGAGACGGTCACTGCTGCTGCAGTTGCACTGCAGTTATTACTAGACGTGTACACTGGGGAAGAGTGAGGGAGCTGGCAGAAGCTGGAGGCCTAGAGCCAGACGGAGCAGAGAGGGAGCTTGGCAGTGGGGCAGGGATCAGGCAGGAGTCCTGGAGTGAGCTGGGTGGGGCTGACACCCCTGAGCTGGGGAGCAGAATTCTGGGACAATGCAGTGAGACTTGGGCCCTGAACCCAGAAGGAAGAAACTGAATCCCAGCAGCCAAGATGTGGGAGAAGGGAGAGTTCCTTGAGGCGAGACTCAGGATTCATGAGAAGGGCGTGAGCACCTGCTGCAGGCCAGGCTTCCATGGTTTGTCATTTGTCTTTTGCTTATCTCAAGAACTCTAAGGCAGTGGTTCTCAACCCTGGATGCAGGATAGGCTGGGGGCAGAGAGGTGTCAAGTGGAGTCCCAGCCCAGACCTTGAAATGAAAAACACTGGTCCCATCCCCAGAGGCAGGTTTGGGGTGGGGCCTAGGCATAGCATTTGAAAACCTCTCCCAGGCCCTCCCCATTTCAGATGAGGATGTGAGGCTCATGCTCAGATGAGGGAGGGCGGCCTGGTCACTCAGCAGACCAGGCGTGGCTGTGGTTGTAAGGGGCTGGGAGTAGAGGCAAAGGGGGAATTCATTGGTGGGAGGTCTTCTAGGTGCCTAGAGGTCTCTGATGCTGGTGTCAGGGAAAGGCTCCCTGTTCTCCAAGTCTGTCTGAACTGTGATCTGGCATGGAGCTGGGCCTCAATGGTCCGCTTGTTGTTTGCTCCTAGTCCCCATCTCAGCCCAGAAGGGCCCTTGTTACTTGTAGAAAAGATGAAACAGCGTGAGCCATCTGCCCCTTTTCAGGGCTCCCAGATTCCCAGGGTCCTCCCACATCCGCATCAGCTCCACACTCAGTACTTAGAACAGCTCTGCGGGGAGGCTGGGCTGGTGTCGGGGTGTCCCCAAGTACAAGAGGTTAGTTTGAGATCCAGAGCAGTGGATTGCCTCGCCCTGCGCCCCAGCCGCTGGTGCCTCTTTCCACCTCTTCAAGAGGCTTCCAAATCCCAGCTTACCCTGAGCAATGCACAGACTTTGAGGAGGCACCTTGGTAGTTACCCCAGCTGGGGTGGGACTAGACTTGAACCCCTCTGCCCCTAGCCTCATGGCCTTGGACCAATCCTTTAGCCTTCAGCAGGGGCTGACATTCCATCACCATGCTCAGAGCAAGCCTGAGCTCCAGAGCCAGCATATCAGTCCTGGCACTGTCAGTCACTCACAGTGTGACCCTAATTTTGTCATGTGTAAAACAGCCATAATGACAGGACCCACCTCCCAGGGCTCTGACAAGGGCTCAGTAATCTCACAATGACTTTATGGCTCATAAGTGTTTAGTGAGCACTAATGATGTCTACTGGGCCACAAAAGGATGGGCCTCAAGCCCTTTACCTAGTAGACTTACTCATTCAGCCAGTAGTTGGTGAGCACTTAATGTGTCCTGACAGCAGATAGGCTCTGACAGCACAAAGATGAGTAAAACAGGCCCACTGTCCCAGGCATGGGAAGACAGGCCTTGTGGCCAGTTACAATAGGGTGTTCTGGGCAGAGCCCCTGTCCAGCTGGGGCCCCCAAACCTTGATGGCCTCTCCCTCTGAGCTCCAGCCCCACTGGCCACTGCATGAACTGTTTGCATGTACTGTTCCCTCTGCAAGCGTTCCTGTCCTGCTGCTCACCCCTCTCCCCAAGCCAGTTGAGGTGAGCCACCTCAGAGCTTCATTCAAGCAGACCCCCAGGCCAGGTCAGGCCATTCTGCTACCTGCTAGATGTTTACCTGTTTATCTCCACGTGGGTTACTGTGACTATCAGACTGGAAGGAAAAGGACCTGATCTGACTTATTCTCCACTAAGCCCTCGGCCTGGCGCAATGCCTGGCACTCAGGACGCACTCAGTAAATGTTTGCTAAAGGAACATCTAAATGAATGAACAAACATGGGTCCCTAAGGCAACTGTCAGTTTTGGGAGATGGAGCGAGAAGGACCGACAGGGTCAGATCACGAGGAGCCTTGAACACTAGGCAGAGGAGCACAGGCTGCTTTATGCAGGGCTTGGGCCAGGGATTCTCAACCCTGGGTGCACTTAAGAGTCATTGAGGAGGTTTTAACAATTCTGATTTCCCCCCAGAGAATTAAAGCAGAGCCTAGGAGTAGTGGGCCCAGGCCTCCGTGTACTTTAAAAAAAAAAACTACCTGGTGATTCTAATGTATAGCCGAGGATGAGAACCACCTGTCAGATGATGAGCAGCCAGGAACTCTCCTCTCACACTCAGACAGCCAGCCAGGGCCCTTATCCAGGGTTCAGGCTCAGGCCCCCTCCAGCCTCAGCTGCCCCGGCCCCAGGGGGTCCTAGGCAATGTCCATTTCCCGCATGAGCCCACCTCCTTCCCTCCTGCCCCCGCCCCGGGAAGGGCAGGCAGGGGAGCACCAACTGGGTGGGCTGAGTCTAACAAGCCCAGTGCTGACAGATGGACCCCTTCCCACCCTGCTGGTTCACCCCACCCCCCCACAGCTCTGCCAGGCCACCCTGGAGTGAGTCCTCTGAAAACTAACTCCTGACCCTGGAGCTCCTGCCTCCCACACACCGCTGTCCTGCCCTGGGGAAGGGAGGAGTCCTCCTCAGTGTCTGCTGTACCCCCTGCTGCACTGGACCGAGCCGGCCTTAGAGTTAACACCTGGGGTCAAACCTGGGGCTGCCAGTGCCTAACTGTGTGCCCTTAGGCAAATCATTTTCCCTTTCTAAACTTCAGTTTCCCCCTCTGCCAAATGGAGATGTGAGCACCACAGAGAGGGTTTGTGAAGAGAAATGAAATAATTGCTACGTTTGTTGAGCACCTACTGCAGAGGTTCTTAGTCCTGGCTGCACATTCACACCACTTGGGCAGCATGATGCAGAGGCTGGGCCTAATCCCAGAGACTGATTGAATTGTTTTTGCTTTCTGAGTGATTCTAATGGCAGCCAGGGCTAGGAACCACTGCCTGACTCTGCCAAGCGCTTCCCATCCGTGATCTTATTACACTCTCTCACCAGCCTGCCGGGGGGAACTTTTCTTCCCATTTTACACGTGGGGAAACTGAGACTTGGAGACATCAAGCAGCTTGCCTGTGGTCATGTGTAGCTGGGATTCGAGCTCACATTCTTTAATCCTTGGCCTTTCCGCTACCCCAAGTGGCCTCTAGAAAAGGTGGTAGCCCAGAAAGTTCCCAGCAGGGGCCTGGCTGCTCCCCTCTTCCAGGGCAAACCTAAGGGTTTCTGAGTCAGGGTACCATCCTTAGTTAAATGTCTTACCTGTGGATTTTGACTGATAGATACCTTTCCTAAAAAGAAGCATATAAGGCAAAACAGTACATATATGATGAAAATAAAAGTAGGAAAAATCAGGGTATTCAGAATGATTGCCACAAAGCCCTGTCACGGCCAGCGTGATCTGGCTGTGAGTGCCCACAGCTAGTGTCTGGAGGGAAAACGGAGAGCAGCCAGTTTCAGTCATGGCTGTGGAGTGATGTAGCTTTTATTTTGAAATAATTATAAGTTCATGGGAAGTTGCAAAGACAGTACAGAGAGGTCTTGTGGCTCCAGGATTTTTATAAAACTCTCCAGGTGATTCCACTGCACAGCCAGGGTCAACAGCTTCTGACCTAAAACCCAGTTCTTGCCTTTGGCTAGTTCTGGATGGGGTGGGTGGGCTTGGGGTCTCCTGAAGCTGGGGTTCACTGCTCAGCATCCCCACTTGTGTCATCCACTGCTTGCACTTCTCTATGGATGGGAGCTCTTTCCTTTCCTCCAAGCTGATCTCAGCGAGAAGAAGTACTTGTGTCCAGCCAAAGTCCAGGCCGGTGGCTTCCATCCTGACCTCCTGTGTTTCTTGGTGGAGCCCATCTGAACCCCACCACTCTGTTCTCTTGCAGATGCAGCCACCATCTTGGTGGACGAGCAGAACAAGCGGCCCTGCTGGAAGTTTCTACTGATAGGTACAGTGCTGTACTCTGCTCAGGTTCCCCCCAGTGACCAGCATCACCCAGGCTGGCCCCCCAAGCCACTACCTCAAGCCTATTTTGTGACCTTGGCTCCCTTGGCTGACCTCTCAGGGCCTTCCCAGGGGCTGTGGTTCCTTAGGACTTTCCAGGGCCTGGTCCCCAGCTCTTCAGACCTAGAATGTGACTTTATCCACTCACCCATAACAAGCAACCACTGGGAGATGAAAAGTAAATCCAGGAGACACTGATGGGTGTAGTAGATTAGCTGATTAAGCTGGCCTGGGAGTAGGCCTCCCTATGCACTTCCTCCCAGCAGTCAGGGCGAGATTGTCACAGGCCTGAGGCCACTGAGGATGTTCAGAATTAGAACGGAGGATGTTCAGAATTAGAACCAAGGATGCTAGGTGTTGATTTGGTGGATCAATACTCAGCTAATAAAGATGCATACAGTTCAAACAGGTAAAAACTTAAGCAAATGAAGGAATCAAAGGCAGGTGAAAATAAGGGTAGGAAAAATAAGACAAATCTAGGAGAACGATTACTATCCTCTATGTTTGTCCTTGAGGTCCTGGGTACTCTCTAGGAATTTAGCCCTGAGCTTCCTAGCAGCCAAGACAAAGAGGAAAACCATGATGATTAACATGGTTTATAGGGAGCTTAGCATTGAGGGGAGGCCACGCTCCTCTCAGGAGATGGTGCAGTCCCTAGGGTGGATGCTAGGCCTGCAGATCAGGGGCTTCCCTACAGACTTCGCCTAGATATGAATACGCCACTGGTAGGGTACACTGGTGTAGGCCACCCCCAGTCCCCTGTTATTTTGAGACATGTTTTGGTCTCGGTTGAGATTCAAAAAGCCACCTTGGACTTTGGTACTTCCCTGACAAATCTGCCCTTAAGCTTTTCAAGTGAGCAGTCCAGCTGCTTATGCAAGCCAAGGGGAGGAGGTGGTGGAGCGCCACGCAGAGGCGCAGCACATGCAGGGGCTTGGAGGGAGGAAAGCATGACCCTTCCAGAGACTCACGTGTAGTTCATTGAGGAACAGGGGCAGGGCAGGAGGTGACAAAAGACAAGACTTCACAGAAGGCTGCAGTGGGATTGGACCCCCAGAGCAGCGGGAAGCCAGGGAAGGGGCTTGAGCAGGTTGTTCTGGCTGCTGTGGGGCCAGAGAAACTCCAAGTTTTTGTGCAGGGGTGGAGTCCCTCAAGTCCTGCCCCTAAAACCCCTCAGGACCCCACTGTGGGGTCCTTCCGAAGCAGTGGGTAACTCTGCCTTCCCTTCACAGGCCAGTGTGACTTCGGCTCCAAGTGCAGATTTTCCCACATGTCTGGACGAGACCTGCAGGAGCTGAGTCTCCAAGTGGAGGGTGAGTCTCAGCAGGGACCCAGCTAGGTCAGGGCTGGGATGCCAGGAGGGCTGGGGAGGTAGTGTGGGATCTGAAATGGGGAAGCTGCCCTGTGCCTGCCCACCATCCCCTCTCTTGTGGCCTCCATGCAGGGAAGGTCAAGGGCTGCCCAGGGTGATTGGGGAGCCCTGAGCCCCAGTGTGGGCTGGGTGTCAGGAACTGCCTCCAAACCACCCCGGGCATGAGTGGAGAAGGAGCAGGGGCTGGCATGAGCTCCCATCCGTGACCCCATGGGACTCAACCTGATGCCTGCGTGGCTTTGTGCCCAGGGCCCTGAGGCTGCGCCTCTGCCCCACCTGAGTCCTGCGCAGCAGCTACAAGCCTGGCACTCTTCACGTATGCAAACCCTCCCCCTACGCCCCTCCCTCCTTCAATCTGTCAACATATACAGAGCCCCTACTCTGCACCCGGCAGATGCCCCCACTGTGCCCTGGGGACACAAAGATGAAGAAAGTACCTTTCTTGCCCTTGAGATTCTCACAGCCCGCTGATTCTGAGGGAAGAGCAAGTTCAGCTTCCCATGGAAGAAAGAATCTGGTATGCCTGCCTTCTTCAATTAGAGAACAAGGAAGCTCTGACTTAGAGGGCTTCATGTCAGTCTTCTCTCACAGCTCCTCATTGATCAGATGAGGAAACTGAGACCAATGCCAGGGCAGAGGGCCTTGCCTGAGCCCCCCAGCAAGTTAGAGGCAGACTGGGTGTGCCCGTGTACCGCCCTTCACCCTTCTGTATGTCCAGGTGGCCTCAGGGAGCCAGCAAGTGTCCTGGGGCAGCCTGGCCTTTGCCCTTGTCCCCTGGTGGGCCTACAGGCTAAGTGCCTTGCCTTGGGGAGCCGATGACAGTGTGGCTGCAGCCCTGGCACAAACAGGGTTTCCAGGAGCTTTCCTAGGGTGGATGCGAGTGCTCGTGGGACCAGCCCTGGAGTCCTGGCAGCTGCAGCATCTCCAGCTCTTTGTGGCCATGGGCTCTTGGGGAACAGTTAGCCCGTGGTGGGAAGGGCTCAGGCCATGTGGTTGGAGCTGGAGACATACCTGATGGAGACAGGGATGTGGAGGGGACTGCGGAGGCCGGGAGCAGAGGCATGCCCCCATCTGGCAGCTCAAGACAGTGCTGGCTCTGCCGTCCTGCTGTGACCTTGGCACACGGCTTAGCCTCTTGGAGGCAGTGTCCTGACCTGTCCAGTGTGGTGCTCACGAAGGTGGAGTAAGATGGCGTACGTGCATGTTTAGCCCATGGGCTGGCACAGAGTGAGCACTAGGCCACAAGCAAGTGTGACTGTATTCCTCTGGCCCCAGGCCCCATCCCAAGACTGCACAGAGACTTGGGCTACCTCACACCCTCATGCCTAGTGTGTATGAAAGCCACTTGTTGCTTGGTTTTAATTCAGTGAGCAACACTTTTTGTAGGACATTTTATGAGACGAAAAGCCAGGGAAACTCAGGCTCATTACTCTGCTCAGGGTCAGAGACCCGGCAAGTGGCTGAGCCAAGATTCAAGCCCTGCTTTGCCTGGTTCTGTGCCCGTGCCGCTTCCCTGCACCCCCGGAATTGGACACTCCCAAGTGCCGGGCTCTTTATATCCATCTTCCTGCTTCGAGCCCCAAAAAGCTCAGGCAGCCACAACTGTGGTCTCCATTGGATGGAGAAGCAGATTGAAGCCAGAGGGGTGGTCCTCGGCCACAGATGGCCTGGGGAGGTGGTAGCAGTATAATGAGGACAAGCCAGAGGCTCTGCCCTTACCCTACTCAGCTTGCCCCCCAGGAAGGGAGCGGTGAGATCCCCAGGACTTGCCCAAGGCTTGCCAATTCCTGCTCCTTGGTGGGAGGGGCGTTCAGGCTGGTATGAATGTGTCCCTCACTTGCCTCTGACTCCCTTTTACCACAGAGGAGAGGCGGGCCAAGGAGTGGCCAGTAGATGCCGTGGAGCTCCCTGAGGTCCGTCTGGAGGACTGGCTGGAGAAGAGAGCCAAGCGGCTGAGCTCAGCCCCAAGCAGCAGGTACGGTTTCTATGAGTGTCTTCCTCCTATGCCCTCTGGACTCAAGACCCTAGGCAGCCTGCCCTGACTTGTCTCTCCATGAACTGCCCAGCCTCAGGGGCCAGACATGACTCCCCTGGCAGAGTTCCCTGAGGGCAGGGCCACGTTGGGAATTGTTGGGCCCCCAGCCTCTTTCCCTGGCCTTGCCCATCCCTCAGTTGGTCATCTCCACATTGGAATGGCAAAGCAGATTTGACTTCACATCACTGTTCTATTCCAGGAGGAAGGGGCCAGAGCCCTTGGTTACTGACATCCCCGTGGGTACCAGTCACTGCATACCTGCTCCCTTACCCGCTCTCCTCCTCGGGCTCTGCCAGTATGCATGGTTACCCTGACTGTGCATAAGGGGAGACAGGCTCACAGTAGGGTGTGACTTGCACAAGGGTACACAGCTAGGAAGAGGCAGAGCTGGGACTGTGCAGAGTGTGACAACAAGACCACTGTTCCACTGGAAGCAGGTAAGGGTGGGCTAGGCCCAGCCCTCGATGCTTAGAAGTGGATGAGGAGCCCCTTAAGCTCTTGTGCTGGGGAGCATGCTGGCTAAGGGGCCCTCAGTGTGTGCTGCATGCCATCCCATGCCCTCCTTTTCAAGGAGAGGGCCTCTGCCCGCACTTCACTCACTGACTGAGGCACAGGGGAGGCAGGGACTTCTGAAGGCCACACAGCATCAGAGTCAAGGCCAAAGCCAGGTCTCCTGGGCAGTTCCACCAGGTATTGAAGGAGAGAGAGGAGAGGACAAGGGCTTTAAAGGATATGCTTGTGAGCTGTATATGACTTTGTACAAGTTGCCCCACCCTGGGCCGCCTCACTTTCCCCGTCATGAAATGGGGCATCAGCATCGATTATCTCCAGGGTCCTCCCCGGATTACCGTGCTTTGGCCTCATGGGCTGGCGGCTTGGCCTGGGCCGAGGGAGCCTGATCAGACCATCTGTGGGTGAGGCCTTCCTTCAGGGCTCTGCCAAGAGGTGAAGAGTTTGCTTCTTGCCTTCTCTGTGCCCAGTGAAAAGAAATGAAGATATTTTTTAATTAACTTTAATTTTTTTTAAATATATATTTTTTAATAACATTGTGTTTTTGATAAGGTTTACATAGTAGTTTAGGTTCCCATTCAACAATTTCCACACAAGTTGTTCATTGACATTGGTTACATTCTTCAAAATATGTGAATGTTCTCGTTATTTCCATTCTGGTGTTTGCATTTCCATTAATCTAGTTTCCCTGTCCCTTTACATTCTCATCTTTGTTTTGAAGTAATCGTTGACTGTTTGGTCTCATATAGGTAATTTTTTTTAGGAGCGCAGTACTTACAGGTGATATTGTTTTTTGAGCCAATCTGTTATTTAGCTACAAAGTGACCGCAGAGGTTAGTGTCAGTTTAAGGATTGAAGAGTATCTCAGGGAAGTAGTCTGAGGAGGCTGCCAGTCTCAACCAGTCTAATAGGTCTGAGTGTTTTTTTAAATGAATTTGAGGTTCTGTTCCATGTTTTTCTCTCATTCTATCAGGGTCCATCTATTGTGGCCCTGATTAGAATGGTCTGTAGTGGTACCTGGGTACCATTTAGTTGTTCTGGTCTCAGGGTAGATGAGGCTGTGGTTCATGTAGACTATTTGTCCTGTAGTCTAGTTTCTTTTTTGAGTCTTTGGTTTTCTTCTTTCTCTTTTGCTCCAGACAAGTAGAAACCAATAGTTGTATCTTAGATGGCTGCTCAAAAGCTTTTAAGACCCCAGACACTACTCACCAAACTAGGACCTAGAACATAACTTTGTTTTTTACCCTTATTTTAAATCTGTGCCCCATTTTTGTCCCTCTCTCTTTTTGAAAATACAGTACAGACATGACTCAAATGTTGGACGTACCTTCCTGCTGGGCCTGTCTGAAGGGTTGTGATTTTGGTCATGTGGGTACTCCCTTGGGACTGGCCCTTGTCATGGATCCCTGTCCATGCCCAGGCTCCTTCAGCCCATGCATCAGGGGCTGGGTGGGCTGGAGGCTGCCCCGAGGTGGGTGGCCCCAGGAAACTTCCCTACTATCGTGAGCCCAGTTCAGTTCCACTGCCCCCCGCGCTGCTCCTTGCACCCAGCCCGCACAGGGTCCCATCTACGCTCTGCCGCTTACTAATCACGTTGCTCTGGCTGCTCACCTCCCTGCTCCGACCTCCCAGGTTCTGCCCTGGGAGTAACTCAGGCCTGGGGACCTCAGGGGCTATAGAGACAGGGTGCCCCAAAGTCCCCACCTTGGCACAGACAAGTGTGTCCCAGCGCTCTCTGATGCAGAGTGCCTGTGATCATGAGACTTGGAGGACCCGGGGGTGGGATGGGGAAACTGAGGCTGGGGTGAGGGAGGGGTGAGGACCACATGATAGTTAGGGTTGTTTGGTGCTTACGGTGTGCCTAGCAGTCTGGGCGTTTAGTGGGATTAGCACCCCATTTTTCAGCTGAGGAATCTGAGCCTCTCCAGGAAGTTATCACATACATGCTGTCCTTAGCTGTCACTTGAGAGCGAGCCCCTGCCCCAGATCTGGACCCTAGGCCGCCTCTGTCACACGGACCACATTCAGGGCTGGCCAAAGGCCCTGTCCAGCTGGAGGCCTACAGAGACAGCAGCTGAATGCCAGGATGGTGGTGGCTGTATCTGCAACGGAGCTTGCAACTGGGGACCACCCTAGGTTCTAGGGGGTCTGAGCCCTCTGACGCCCAATCTGGCCACTTGCAGGGACCTGCTTTCCCGGAACCACTTGTTCTCTGCACCTATTGCCTATCCACCTGCCTCCTGAGGGTCTGAGCTAAAAGTAATTACTCTTTGGGCAGACAGACCTGTCCAGGCTGGAGAAAAAGGGGTTGTTGGAAGGGAGGTGACCATTTATTATCACTTTAGCCATTGCTGCCTCAGTCTTCCACAGCCCTCTTCCTGCAGACTGATCTTGTGAAAAATCATGCCCGTACCCTGCAGCCCGCGGGCTTTAGGCTCTGTCTCTGTACCCATGACCCCCACTGCACCCCTCGGCTGCGTTGCTCTGCTTCCCAAGTCTCCTACTCCAGACTCCAGCCAATCCTGCATAAAGGTGGCCCTTGACCACGCATTGTTGTCATTCCTGGGGGGCAAACCTCTGCCGGTGGGTGTGTGCCCAGTGCGTGGGGGCTGCATGAGTGAGCATTCAGGGGAGGAGGGGCCCGACCTGGAGATCTATCACCTGGGTGTTAGTGCTGCGAGCCCCTCGTGGGGACCAGTCTAGGGGACCTCAGGTAGCCCCTGTTCCTCTCTGGGTGTCTGTTTCCTTGTGCAGGGTACAATGGCTACCTGGCCCACCCTGGGGCCACTCAGACTTTTGGGCTGCAACCCCCATGGCCGAGGAGAGCCTCGAGGTCAGCCGGGCCAACCCTCCTTGTAAACCCGGGAGATGGCAGCTCCGTGGGGCCCCAGCCTGGCAGCTTTGGCCCATCCCCTGCAGCAGACTGACCCTGAGGCATCTGCCAAGAGCAGACTGCGGCGGGAGGGAGAGGCCAGCCTCAGACATACAGACTAATCCCCCAGCAAGGCCAGAGCTTGTCCCTGCTTCCCATTGTTGGCTCTTCAGATTGTGACTTTATCCCACTTAATCTCCCCCTGTGCACCCCTCTCTGGGCCAGTGGTGCTGTTCCGGCCCAGCCGCCTGCAAGAAGACTCTTTTTCCTTATGATTAGGACATGGCTGGAGAAAGGCAAAGGAGTCGTTCTTGTTTGTCCTTGTGCATGGGGGAAACTGAGGCCACAGGAAAAGCCACTAGCTCCGAGCCATGCTGCATGCATGCCTCAGTGTCCCCATCTGCATCATGCGGGGCTGGAGGGTGTGCTTTGGGGATCAAGTGGTTTGCCTGTGTTGGGTCCCGGGCCATGTGCAAACGTCTGTGGGCATGCACAGGGGATGCCCTCCTCCTGTTGGGGGGCCTCAGGGCACAGGGTCACCAGACTGAGCCATGGATCCAGTAGGTTGAGACCCAGCTGTTGAGGAATCTTGCCTGTTTTCTAGGCTCCCTGGGGGAGCCCTGCCATCAGTCCTGACCCTGCGGGGAGCCCGGTCTGCCTGGCAGCTGGGGCACTCCCTTCCCATAACTGCAGAGCCTCCTCTACTCCCACCTTTCTGCTGCTGGCTGGCTGGCTGGCGGGAGTTTAGGAAATCTCCCCAGCACCATAAATCATGCTGAGAACTGCTTTCAGCTCTTGGCTCTTCCCAGCAGGCAGCCAACAGCTGAGCAGGGGGTTTCCCTGTCCTCTGGCACCAGGAGGCCCTAGAGGCTGTACTGAGGACAGAAGGCTGCCTGAAGCCCACGCCTGGTACAGCAGCCAGGCCCTGAGGACAGGCAAACTCCCTGGTCCCCCCACCTCCGCCTTGGAGGCCTGAGGCCTCTCCACACCTCAGAGTTACTGGAGGCCCTTCCCTTCCTGCAGAAGGTTGGCCACTGGGCCCTGAGCCTGCTAGGAGCTGCCAGGATCTCAGTCATTGAGCTGGGGGCGGAGGGGGTGGTACGCTGGGCCTCTGGAGCAGAGAGAATGAGGGGGGAGGGGACGACTGGAGCAATGTCTGTGTTACATTACAGCCCTCCCTCCTCCATCCCCTGACTGTGGCACCTGAACAGATGACTGACTCCTTGTACCTCAGTTGCCTCATATATAAAATGGGGTTTGTGTAAAGATTCTTGAGGATCCCCTAGGCCATGGTTTCTGACCCAGAATAATGCCTGGTCATGAGAGAGACCTCTTAGCATTGCTGTTCATATTCAGCAAACATTCACGGGGCAGCCTCCCTGTGCCTGGCTCTGGGCCCTGAGGGTACAGACAGACTCCCCACCCCCTGACCCCTATTCCTGAGGGCCCCAAGTCCAGAAGGGGAGACAGACAAGCTCCCAGGGGAGTAGAACACAAGGTTCAAAGTGCTCCATGGCCTGAGAGGAGGGGCGCTGCAGCCGCAGAGCCGGCCTGAGGGGGGGCCCTGTCTAGGATGGGAATGCTGGGCAGGTTGGCAGGTCTGGGCCCTGCTCTGCGCCTCCCTGGGCTTGGTCAGCTCCCAGGAAGGAGTGTCCCCAGGCTGGGCACAGAGGATACCTGACCAAAGGCGGGTGCTTCAGATGGGCTTTGAGGGAGCTGGCTGGGGCCAAGGGCCTTCAGGGGAAGAGAGTAGCATGAGAAATGAGGCTTTTAAAAAATTTCAGACTTAATTTTTTTCTGATTTCAATGACTGACGTGCTTGCAAAACTTTTGAAAAATATAAAGAAGTAAAAAATCACCCGTAATTGCACCACTCAGATAGAATCACTGTTAACATTTTGCTGTGTCTTCCAGGTTTTTTTATGCATTTATATATGTTATATATCTTTAAACAAAAATAGTATCATGCTATATACATTATTTTATAAGCTGCTTTTTCTGCCTACTCACGTAGTATGTCATGACATCTTCCCTTGTCAGTGCATATAAGTTTGCCATAATTTTTACACAGGCTGCATAGCATTCTCTGCCGTGGACGTGCATAACGTAATCAGTCCCCCACAGGTGGACACTTAGGTCACTTCCATTTTTGGGTGGCTATTCTTGCTGCTAAATCTCTGCCCATAGCCTGGCTGTTTCCTTGGGCTCAGTCCCTCGAGGTATGGTTGCTAGCTCAAACGAGCTGCTCTGCCTTCCAGAAAGGCTGTGCAGGTGCTGATCCTCCCCATAGCTGAGGTGGGAGGACATAGCCCAGGCTATGTCCCAATCTAATTCTTCTTCTTTTCTCTAGGGCTGAACCCGCCAGAACCGCCATCTTCCAGTACCCCATGGGCTGGCCACCAATCCAGGAGCTGCCCCCATCCCTGAGAGCACCCCCACCCGGGGGGTGGCCCCTGCAGCCCAGCATCCAGTGGGGCTGAGCCCCTTGGCTCTGCCTGGCCCTGACCCAGTCAGCTTTCCTATTGGTCACAACAAAGACCAGGACTGGGGAGGCCCCACAGAGCCTCTGAAAGTACCACCTGGCTTTGCTGAGACCCAGGACCCTCCACCAGCTGCAGCCCTGCTCCCAGACTGAGCCAGGCAACTACACCCACCCTCCCTCCCAGGACATGTGAGAAAACGAACTTCTGGATGTTTATAAAGAGAGTCTGTCACCACCATGGCTCTGGCTGCACTCGCCTCGCCCTTAGCTTCAGTCTCTGGCCCTAGGCGGGGGCAGGCAGGGCTGGAATGAGATGAATGCTCTCCCTTGGGGGCTGGCAGAGGCTCCCATGCTCGGGCAGGGTGCAGCAGTGTAGCTGTGACCGGGGCCCTCTGAGAAGTGGCTCTGCCTGCTGTTCCAGCGCTGGAAGATTGGCAGCCCCCCACTTCTGCTTGTGCTGAGAGGTTCCAAGCATGGGAGGTGGCACAACTAGAGGCAGGGCATGAGCCAGGTCTCCACCTTGAGGGCTAGAGAAGTGGGGGACCCAGAAGGGCAGGCCCTGTACTTTGGAGAGGCCTGTCTGAGCTTTCTGGCCCTAATGGCACTGGGCTGGGCAGCCTCTCAGCCTAGGCGTGGCACAGGGGTCCTTCCAAGGTTTCTGCCCTGGAGGAGCTTTTTGGCCGGCAGAGGTCACACAGGCGGCTCAGGCTTCTTGGAGCCTCCAGGCCCCAACTCTGCTTCCATCCCTAACTGCACTACGGTTTTAGATTCTGTGCTGGGGTGGTTGGAGGGGACGTGGCTCTTGAGCTGGACATGGGGCCTGCAGGGCCACCTTGGATTTCCCATCCTCCACTGACCTTCTGCCCTTCCTGAAAATCCCTGCTGAAGGGGGAACTGAGGCCATATCTCAGGTTCCTCTGAGCCTCAGGCTCCTTAATCTGTGGAATGGGCTAACTCTGTGGCCTCTGCAGGTGCAAAGAGGAGCAGAGGCTGGGTTTGGGTCTAAGCGTAGGAGGGTCAGAGGAAGGGACCCAGCAGAAGGCCAGGAGCCTACTCAGGCCGTCCTGAGGAGCAGGAGCCAGGGAGACCTCGGTCTCATGCTCTCCTCCAGGGGAGGCTTTCTGCCCCCACCTCCTCCACCCTGCCCACAGCCCTGGGAAACCCCAGGGACCGGGGTCAGGTTGGCTGTGTGGCCCTGGGCAGGCAACTGCTGTCTCTGAGCACAGGGTGCCCCCTTCCACCTGAGGGGCCACAGCAGTGAATTCCTCCTTAACTTCCCAGGACTGCCTGGACACTGGGAAGAATTAGTGCTACATACAGGCCAGGTGGGGGCATGGGAAGGGCAGAGGTGCAGGTGGGGCTGGGATCCTCAGAGCCGCCACCAGGCCCTCCACATCCAGGCCGCAGCTCCATGCAAGGCCCAGGGTGGGAGGGGGTGGTGGTGGGGTCATCGACGTCTGGGCCCTGAGAGTACACGCTGACGGTGGCCCAGGGAGCCAGCTGAGGGAGAAGGGGCTGCAGGTGGTGGTGGGTGTGGAGTGAGCCCCATGCTCCATATGTGCCGACGGGGCACCCCAACAGGGGCCTATTTCATGCCGCTGCGCAGCACCTGGTTGGCTGCGATGAGCATGACGCTGATGATGAAGGCGATGGCGAAGGCGCAGATGAGACTCTTGCGCACGCATGTCTGACGGATCTGCTGGTTGGAGCAGGCTATGGCCGCCGGGGAGCGGGAGAGACGAGTCAGTGAACCAGCGCAGTCAAGAGCCACCTGTACTTGTGCACAGACCCAGGAGGGGCTCACCCCATGGGGCGCATGGAGACACTGAGGCTTAGGGCAGGCAAGGAGGTCCCCAACCCCCTCTGCAAACTCCCGGTTTCCCTCCGCCCGTGGGGCCCCAGGGGTCCGTCACTCACTCTCCACATCCACGGGGCACTCCTCAGCCGTGCCCAGGTGGCTCTCCTCCTCCGTCATGATGATGTTCTCGATATCCTTCATGGACAGGTGCTCACAGAAGGTGTCATAGAGCAGCCGCTTCAGCTCGTCCACTGTCAGCTTCTGCATGTCGCACTTGGGTAGGGAGACAGTGCTCTGACCACCACCACAGCCACGGTCCTCGGCCAGCACCCTACACAAGCCCAGATCCTGGGGGGCTGGGACCCACTCACCCCATACCTGAGTTTTTGACCAGCACCAGCACCAGCACCCTCACCCCTCACCTAGGGAGGCAAGACGTCCAATAGACAGGCCTGGAGTGGTCATCCCCTTTACAGGGTGGGCCGGGCCATTTGCGGGCCCCAGGGTAGCCCTCCCCAGTGTACTTAGCCCTGGGTCCAGCCAGTCAGACGTACCTTCCAGAAGACGGTGTCAAAGTCGGTGCCATGGAACTTCTCTGGGATTCCTGAAGTGGAGAGCTTGGGTCCCAGGAGGGTCACAAACTCCTCAAAGTCCACTTGGCCATCGCCTAGAGCAGGCACAGGGCCAATCAGCCGGGCCATGTCTGGGCCTGGGCAGGCAGCCTGGGGCCCAAAGGACTGGGGCTGGAGTCACATGGGAGACCCTCATTCCACTCAGAACCCTCCATGGGCTCCCAGCCCCCTGCTGCTGTCCCGGGTGGGTGTGGGGCCTCAGAGTCTCCCCAGACAGACAGGAAGTGACATTCAGGTGGTGAGAACCACCCGGGCTGCCACATGCCATGGGCTGGAGAGGAGAAGGGGGAGGCCACAGGTGAGATGAAGGGGCAGGGACATGGCACCATGATTATTCTCAGTAATTCTTCCTTCATAAAATGCCAGGGGCAGATACAACTAAATTAGCGATTTTTAATATTGGGCAGTGGGAATTAGGGTATTTATTTTCTTCTTTCTACTTGAGAATGAGAGAGGCAGACTCTCTGGCCCCTGGGTGGGGCTGGGTTAGCCAGCTCTCTCTGGCCTCAGTTTCCCAGGCTGAGAAATGGGCCCAAGCCTGGCCACAACACACCGTGGGCTTTGGGGTGGCTCAGAATGGGGGGACAGTGAGAGCCCCAAGGTGGGTTCAGGCCCCAGACACCACACCCAGCCCAGGTGACAGGTGACAACACTCAGGCCAGGGGTGTGCTGGCCTTGCTCACCATCCATGTCCAGCCGCTGGATGATCACCTCCAGCTCCACCTCGTTGGGCATGTAGCCTAGGGAGCGCATGGCCGTGCCCAGCTCCTGCTTGGAGATGAAGCCATTGCCGTCTCGGTCAAACACCTTGAAGGCCTCACGGATCTCTGTCGGGGGGCAGAGCAGCCTGGGATCTCAGCCCTGCCCTGACACCGCCTTCCCAGAACCCCTGGATCCCAGAACCTGCAGCCTGAGCGTGACACTGAGAAACCACTCCAGGGCCTGCAGAGCTCTGCCTAGAGTCCGCCTTTGGTGCCGCATTCTGGAACCTCCGGGCAGGCTGAGCCTGGAAGCAAACCCAGCAGTAAAATTGAGGAGACACCCCTCAGGGCCTCAGTGTCAGGCACCCACAGCCTCTCTGACATGCTTGTGATGACCCGGTGGGGGGGGCGTGCCATGGGTCCCTCTGTGCAGGAGGCCGCTGGGCCTGCCAGGCCAGAGATCTGTGAGCTGCAGAAGACTTCCCTGCCACTCCCTATCGTACTGCGATTCCTCCCCGGGCTCAGCTCATTAACACTGACCAACACTCATTAATGGCAGCCACATGAGGCAGCAGCAGCTCTAACTAATGGGCTGACAGCTTGGCAAAGACTGCCTCCTGGAACCCAAGGTCTGGGGGAAGACAGAGGCGAGGCTGCAGGAACCCCACCTGGTCCAGGCCGGCTCAGATGTGGGGAGTCACCCTCTGCCCCCATTGTACAGAGGGGGAGACTGAGGACCTGGGAGACTCAGGGGTGGGGAGAGTGAACCGGGCAGGAGCCCGGGATCAAGAAAGTAACTCACTGCATGACCTTGTGCTGGCCTCAGTCTTAGCCACAGTAAAATGGGCAGTAATGGTGTGAGGGAGTCCCTAGATGGTGCAAATGGTTAACACACTCGGCTGCCAACTGAAAGGTCGGAGGTTCGAGTCCATCTAGAGGCACGGTGGAAGAAAGGCCTGGCAAACTACCTCCAAAAAATCAGCATTGAAAATCCTATGGAGCATAGTTCTACTCTGACACGCATGGGGTCACCATGAGTCAGAGCCAACTCGATAGCATCTGGTTTAATGATGTGGGGGTGACAAGGGCTTCTTACCAAGGACATGCAGAAACTGTTGGGGAACCCTCCCCTCTTACCTCCACCTGTTTCTCTGCCTGTGAAACCTTAATTATTACTCAGCCCAGCAGGAGGGTCCTGAAGAGCATTTCCTTCCCAGGGGCCACCATCCCCTCCCTCAGGAGACTGGGCACCCACCAGGTGCCCACCCTCAGCCTCCAATCAGCACCCTGGGAAGCTCCCCTGCCCAGATGCCAATCCTCTTCCACCCCCTCTGCTGCAGCTCCCTGGGGGTCTCCTTATTCACTCACCAGCCTCCTGGCCGTTGTCTGAGTTATTCCCCTGGATGGGATTTCAGCAAGCTGAAGCGAGCTCACCGGTGTATATATGAAAGTGCAAATAGGCAAGATGCCCCACACTGCAGATGGGGAAACTAAGGCCTAGAGAGGGTGCGTGGGCTAGCTCAGGGTCAGTGTGGTGTTGGCCCAGGCCTGGCCTTACGGATCCTTAGGGTTCCAGGAACCCCTGAAACTGCTTGTGGGATCCTGCACATTGGGGTCATTTCCCAATCTCAGACTGACATTCAAATCAAGACAGACAGAGCACTACATCTGATCGGCCTGGACTCCCCAGGCCCTCTGACCCTAAATCTGTTCATCCCAGGTGGGACCTGAGAATCTGGCCTCTCAGCCAGTGGCCACGGGCTAGGAGAGCAGCCGGGCTGGGAGAACCAGGAACTCCAGGCAATTCCCACATGAAGCTTTCCAGGGTTGCCGAGGAGGTGGTGAGCTCCCTGTCGCCAGAGGTGTGTGAGTAGAAGCCTGGAAGCCATAGAGGCTGCTGAGGGGATTCCAGGCACTGGGATTCTCTGGGCAGAGATGGAGGCATTGGACATGTAAGCAGGCACGCCCCCGGCCCCCCACTTAGGTTTCTGGCCAGAGGTGTTGCCTCTCCTCCTCCCAGCTGAAGGCTCCGCCCACCTTAGGTGCCCCGAACTCCAGCCTCAGGACCCCTTCAGTGCTGGTGGGCACCAGGACCACACCCACCTCCACGTCCTTGAGAAAGCTGCCCTTTTGCCTGGAATGCTCTGTCCCCGCCACAGCAAACATGGCATCCAGGTTCTCAACCTGGGCAGTACCACCTCTCTGAGGCTTCTGGGCTGACTCCGGCCCTCCTCCACGCTCCCAGGGCCCCTGCTTTTCCCTGTCCTCGAACTGACCATCTTGGTTATGAACTAAGTGCCATGAGGGCAGGGCCAGTCTGGCTTGTTCACAGCTGTGTCCCCGTTTCCTGCAACAGTGCCCATCATTCAAGCTGAAACGCTTGCCGAATGAATGGCTAAATGAATGACTGACTGACTTGGGGAAGCCTGCGCATCCAAGCACATGGAAAAAGGAGCTGAGGAGAAGTTCACACACGGCTTTCCCCAGAGCCCATTTACTCTTCGTTTGCAGACCATTCTAGGAAGGACAGACATCTGCTTTCCAGCCCCAAGCAGGCAAGAAGCATGAGGGGAGGCTGAGGAGGCTGCTTGGCCCCTTGTCCAGTCCCGTAGGGCCCCATCTCCACCCACCCCATGGGCCACCCACTTGTTAGCTGCCATAGTCAGCCCCGACTCATGGCGTTCCATTCACAATGGAACAAAACGTTGCCCGGTCCTGCGCCATTTCTGCAATTGGTTGCAGATCAGACTGTGATCCACATAGTTTTCATTGGCTGATTTTTGGAAGAAGATTGTCAGGCCTTTCTTCCTAGTCCATCTTAGTCTGGAAGCTCCGCTGAAACCTGTTCAGCGACACAGCAACATGTAAGCCCCCACTGACAGGTGGTGGTTCGCATGCGGTGCACTGGCCAGAATTGAAACTGGGTCTCCGACATGAAAGGTGAGAATTCTACCACTGAACCACCACTGTCGGGAGAGGGAAATCAAGCTGAGCGTGCGGGCTGGCAAACCATCATCTCAGGGTGGAGTGGTCAAGCCCTGGACCCATGGCAGGAGCTCCAGTGGGAGCTGGCCCCCTCCCCTGCCATGAACTGGGGTCCAGGCTGTCCCTCCCACCCTGACAGGGGCTGGGTTTGGCTCCCAGAGCTCAGAGCTGCTTCAGCAGGAGCCCCTGACCCCCTTCCCAGAGGCCCTGAGGAAATGCACTAGGCAAGGGGAAGCCAAAGAATACCGAATGTACCATGGACAGCCAGAGACCAAACAAATCTGTCTTGGAAGAAGTACAGCCAGAATGCTCCTTAGAAGCGAGGATGGTGAGACTTCGTCTCATGTACTTTGGACATGTTATCAGGAGGGACCAGTCCCAGGAAAAGAACATCCTGCTTGGTAAAGTAGAGGGTCAGCGAAAAAGAGGGTGACCCTCAACGAGATGGACTGACACAGTGGCTGCAACAATGAGATCAAACAGAGCTATGATTGTGAGGATGGCGCAAGACTGGGCAACATTTTGTTCTGTTACACATAAGGTCGCTATAAGTAGGATCCGACTTGACGGCATCTGACAACAACAGCCTAACAACAGGGGAAGGCAGTGGAGGGTGGGCTAACCTGGGGTGTGTGGGCAGCCAGCAAGCCCTAAGGCAGCCCTGAGGGGCCATTTCTCGGCAGGGCTACCCTCCCAAGACCACTAGGTAAATCTACCTCCCCATTCTTGTGTCCATCTAGCCGCGCCTCCACAGTGCACACACTGCCCCACCCCCCCAGCTGATTCTCACCTATCATGGAGGCCAAGGAGGGAGGCGGTTCTAAGTCACACAGAACCAGGTTCGAATCCCAGTTCTGCTACCTCCTGGCTGGATTACCTTGGGCAGGTGTTTGCTCACCTGTACAGTGGGGCTCTGGGGGGATAAGGAAATAAGGCGTATTAAGTGCTCCGCTGGCCTGGCTCCGAGGAGGATGCCGTAAATCAGCCCAGCTCAGATGGCAGAACCGGAAGGAGAGGGAGGACTGGGCGAGCTAGGGACGCCTGGCGTCCTTCTCGCTGGCATCGGGGCTGGTGCTGGGACAGGAGGCCTGGGCTGGGATTCTGGCTCTGCAGCCGCCGCGTGACCTTGGACGAGGCTCAGGCACCTCGTCTGTGAAACGGGGATATAATTCCTACTGGCCGCCAAGGCCTGGGCGCATTTCCCCGGAAGCCTCACTCTGGTCCCCACTTCAGGAGGCCAGGGGAAGCCTGTCCTGCTCCCTCTTGGGGTGTGAAGGCCTGGTTGGCAGGGCCGCCAGGTTTCCAGGATGATGCTGTCCCCCACTTGCTGCATTTGTTCTGACACCCCCCAAGTCCCTCCCCAACCTGTGGAGCTGTGTCAGGCCTGAGACCCCAGCAGGCCCCATGGGATGCAGCCCTCTGTTAGGGAGCTGGAGTCTGGTGGGGTGGGGGACAGGTTACTGGGGGTGGGCAGTGTCTCTCCTCTGGAGAGCTGTGCTCTCCGTGGCACTGGTTCTGTACCTCACACCTGGCCTCCCTGAGCCTTTGGTCTGCAAAGAGGCAGCTGCTGTACTTGCAGGGAAGAAGGGCAGTAAAGGGGCTCCCCCATCACCTGCCCAGAAGACCCCCATTTGTCCACTCTCAACCAAGCTCCACTGTCCGACTGAGCAGGCAAAGTGCCATCCCTAGGACCCTGCCCTGGTCGCTGCCTGTCTGTCTCTTTCCCCCTCTCGCTGGCAGCCACCCCATTCCCACCCTTGAGTGCTCAAGTCCACTGCTGGGGCTAGTGTTGCGCTCCTACAGGTCCTGGGGGTCTCTGCTGTGTGCATATCAGGGGTGTACCTCCCAGCTATGGTCGGGTATACAGAGGGAGTCTGGGAGAGCCTATGTCGCTCTGGCCCCGGGCCAGTTTTGCCCAGCCATGTCCATCTGAGGCTCTCCAAGGCCACAGGTCTCCAGTGCCTCCACCTGACCTTCAAGGCCCTTGACACCAGCTTGCCCTTCTGCCCCAGCCTCCCACACACCTGCGTCCCTGCCTCATGGGCCTTCTTTGGTCCCTACACACTCCAGACTCTTAGCTCTCCTAGTCCCCCTGCTGCTGTGTCTGTGTCCCCAACCCCCCACTGTGTGCCAGGCCCTGTGCTCGGCACTTCCACTGCATCCCCTGAAGCCAGCCCTGCAAAGGGGCAATGGTGACCTCTTTTTGCAGATGGGGAAACCGAGGCTCAAAGAGGCAAGCGATGGCCCAAGGTCACTCCAGGAGTCAAGGGTGCAGAGACTTGAACTCGGCGCTGTCTGGCTGGGACACTCTCGTCCTAACCCCACCCCCCACCCCCCAGTCTTCCTCCCACTCGATCAAGTTAACCGCCCCCTGGATTTCTGCGGAGTGTATTGTCTGCAGCATTTCATCCCAAGCTGCTGGGCTCCTTCCAGGCACATGTGGCACAGCTCCCCCACTGATGGACATCCTGCCAGCAAAGGGCCTGGGTCTTACCCACACTGCCTTGGAGCAGGAGCATTAATGGGGCACTGGGGAGGCAGAGGAGGCAGGGTCCTCATGGGGGCTTGTGCCAGGGCTGGCCACCTTCTCCACCCAGACATCGCAATCAAGGTTCACCGGGGGCCTGAGGCCTGCAGAGGACTGGCCTCCTGGGAGGAGGGCTTTTGGGGTGCCTGCAGCCAAGAAGGGGATTGGGTTGTGGAGAATTTCTCACCCTCATCCGTAGCAGCCTGGAGTCCATGAGACGGATGCGGGGGCAGGGTGGGGGGAAGAGCCAGGCCTCTGGCTTCCCCCCCAGCCCCTGCCTGCCTGCCCCAGGGAGGGCCCTGCCCTTCAGATGTCCCCTGCACCAGGGCCCCTCTGCTCTCCAAGGCCCAGGAGAAGAGGACGGGAGAGAAGCAGGGAGTGCGTTTGGTGTGGCTGGTGACTAACGCCGCTGGGTTCCTGCCAGCATGTCCACCACGAGGCCCAAGGGGAGCCTGCAGCCTCCTTGCCCCTGCACCACCTACCCCGTGCCCCACTCACCCCTGCACACTGGCCTCCTTGCAGCTTCCCCTCTTCCTCATGGTCTGCACCCCAGGGCTGGGGGATCAGAAGAGGAAGGACCCAGTGAGGTCCAGAGTGAGGATGCCAGGGCCATGGTGGGGGTAGCTTGGAGCAAAGAGAGGGAATGCAGCGAGGGGCACAGTGACATGCTGACCGCTGCTCAAGTGACCAGGAGGAAGGCCTGGACAAGGGGCTATGGAGGGGGAAACTGGTAGGAGGTTTGGGAGTGGCCCTGGGCAGGAAGGGACAGAGGTGGGGAAGAGATGGCTTGCACCCCATCCCCTGCCCTCTTGCCCTCATCACACCCTCTCCTTTCCCCAGGCCCTGGACAACTGGCTTCCACCCAGCCAGGCAAGGGCTTGGGCTTTGGGGACAAGTAACAAGCCAGTCAGGGCATGAGCACCCATCCACCTGCCTGCCCACAGCAAACACAGACCCTTCTTGGCTCTCCCCATATCCGGGGGCTTGTGGGAGACTTGGTGAGGAGCAGGTGGCTTGTGGCCTGTGGTGCAGTGTGGGGGATGGGGGAGACACTGCCTTCTCCCTCTGGATCTTCCCCCAGCACAGTCTGACTCCAAGATCTGCCCCCACCGCAGCTCCAGGGTGGGGGAGATGGCCCTCCATGCTGCCCTGCTGCACTTACCATCATCCCTGACTGTGCTGGCATCTCAGCTCTACCCCCACCAGTGGTCCTCACCAACGCCCTGGATCTCAGAGAACCCCCTGGAGCCAAGGTACCCAGATGGGCCTAGCCCCCAGTCAGTCTCAGCCCCTTCCCCAAGAGCAGACAACCAAATCGCAGAGGGCCAAGGCCCCATGAGCCCAGAGCCCCCTCTCCACATGGGGCCAGGAGGTTTTGGGGGGAGGGGAAACAGCACCTCTTTCCAGCCCAGCATGGACCAAGTCGGGCAGGCCCCAGAGGTCTTGCTGCCCCCCAGGAAACCCCTGGCAGAGAGCCCCTAACCCTGCCCTCCACTCTGATCTCCTAGCCCACTGCCTGAGGCTCCCGCTCCTGTCCTGGAGGTGGAGAAGCTCGGGGTGTCTGGGTCCCTCCCAGTCCTTCACCTTTCCCTTCCAGGCTTGGCTATCGCGACCCAGCCGCCCAATCCGGCCACTTGTTGTCGCCACCGCCTCCCGGGCCGCCTTCCCAGCGCTCCAGGCTGGGGGTCCCCGCAAGGCTGCAGGGAAGGGGCTTCGGCCGCAGGAGGGGTTGGGGGTGGCCCCGCTGCGGGCAAGAGCTGGGCAGTCGCCCTCTCCCCTTCTCCCGCTGCCCGAGCAGATTGAATTTTTAAAGCGACACGAGCAGAATGTCAATGCGAGCACAGAGCCGCGGGCGGGCGCCGAGGAGGGGATCAGGATGCGGGTGCTCTGGCCGGCCAGCGCGGGGGACACAGCTCGGACCCCGGCCCGGCCCGCCGCGCTGCCGCACTGTCACCGCGGTCGCGTGGCCCCGTGACCCCGCTGCGGGGCCGACAAGTTTCCGCAGCGCAGGGGAACCCGCGGGCAGAGGCTGAGCCTCCCCCTCCGCCTCTGCGACCCCCAACGCGGCGCCCAGAGTGCGGGCTGGTCCTGCCTCCCGCGCAGCTGCTCGGCGAGCGCCCACCTGCAGCCGGCACCTGCAGCCAGCCCCCCGGCCCGGCGCCCCTGGCCGAGCTCCACCTGGGCATACAGGTAGGAAGCCCGGCGGCGGGGTTCCGGCGGGGAACTCACCCTCCAGCTCGTCTTCGGGGATGTCCACGGGGCGCTGCTCCGACAGCAGGTTGGGCACGGTGTAGATGCCCCGGTACATCAACGCCGCCGTCACCGGGTGGAACGGCATCTTGGAGCTCCGCGCCCGCCCGCCCGC